GGTCTCACTGTCACCCAGGCTGGAAGTCAGAGGCATGATCATAGCTCGCAGCAGTCTTCATCTCCTGGGCTTGAGAGATCCTCCCACTTCAGCCTCCTGAGTGGCTGGGGCTACAGGCACATGACAGCATGTCCAGCTATTTTTTTATCTTTATTTTTTAGTGGAGATGCAGGTCTCACTATGTTGGCCAGGCTGCTCTCAGACTTCTGTGTTCAAGTGATTCTCCTGCCTCAGCCTCCCGAAGTGCTGGGATTACAGGTGTGATCCACTGCACCCAGCCTAATACATTCTGCTTTATGAAGATTCAGTAAGCAAAGGAGATGATGCCTTTTAAATGGGGGTTAAAACTCCGATTGGACATCATTTGTTCAACAAATGCACGCTGGGTATCCTCTGCATACCAGATACTCCTCTGGGCACTGAAAACCAGGAGCTAATGAATCAAAGCACTCTGCCCTTTGTGGAGCTTCCCTTCTCCCAATGAGAGTAGACAGAGACAGTAAGCAAATTGTGAGATGTTAAAATATGATAAATGTCATTTTAAAAAGTAGAGTGAAGTGAAGGAGACTGAGGGTGTGGGAGTGCAATTTAAAGTGGAGTGAGGCTGGCCCAGTGGTTCACACCCGCCATCTCAGCACTTTGGAGGCTGAGGCGGGAGGCTCACTTGAGCCCAGGAGTTTGACACCAGCCTGAGCAACTTCATGAGACCCTGTCCCAAAAAAGAAAAAAAAAATTAAAAATTAGCCATACATGGTGGTGTGCACCTGTAATCCCAGCTACTCGGGAGGCTGAGATCGCTGGAACCCAGGAGGTCAAACTGCAGTGAGTTGAGATTGCACCATTGCACTCCAGCCTGGGCAACAGCCTTGAGACAGCAAGATCCTGTCTCAAATAAAATAGGGTGCGGAGGGGAGGTGTCATTGAGAAGTGACCTTTGAGCAAAGATTTGTAGAAGGGCGAGAGCTCCCTGTGATTTTTGGAGGAAGAGTTTGCAACAGAAGGAACAGACAGAGCCAAGGCATAAATGGCATGAAAAAAGAAAGGAGAAAATAAACAAGCAGAACCATGTCTATAAGAAGCCCCTTCGTGTTAAAAAAATAATAGTAATAATAATAAAAGCGGGGGGTGGGGAGAATAGAATCAATATTTTCATTTAGTTATATGTGCATAAACTCTGGACAGATGTGTATAAAACTAAGAGGAGTGGATGCCCGTGGGCAGGGAGGCAGGGAGGGTGGGAAGGATGAATGGGAGCCGATTATTGTCTCAGGTTTTAAACTGAGTGAATATATCACTTGTTCAAATATTCTTTTTCTGTGATGTTAAACATCAGAGATCTATGTGCCATTTGGGGAGCTAGACTACACCGTAGTGAGGGCTGATGAGAGTTTAATTAAAGCAGTAATCATGGTGTTGGATCAATGATTTGATGCAGGAGACTTTACTGAGAATGAAACCCAGGTCCCATCCATGGCCAGCCCTCCTTTGAGGTCTCACTCCATGCCTGGCCAGATTTCTAAACTTCAGACCTACAGCTCTTTGATCCAGCTTCCACTGTCTAATCCTCGCCTCCTCTTCTATTTCATTGACCTATTGGAACTTCTTTCTCTGGTTTCATCTAACAACAGCAATGATGGTAACAATGACAATAATCACAACTGCTCTCTCTGTTAAAAAGCTGCTAGAGTCCTCTTGACTTTGGAGCCCCCCTCCTTCTGTCTCTGTACAGGGGAGCTTCTTCCTTCTTTCTTGCCTGTTAAACTCTCTGTTTCTTAAAACCAAAGGGGAAAAAAAAGAGCTTCTGATGGTTACAGAAAACAGACCCAGCCTGGCATGGTGGCTCATGCCTGTAATCCCAGCACTTTATGAGGCTCAGGTGGGTGGCTCACTTGAGGTCAGGAGTTCAAGACCAGCTGGCCCACATGGTGAAACCCCATCTTTATTAAAAATACAAAAATTAGCCGGGCATGGTGGCAGCCTCCTGTAATCCCAGCTACTCGGGAGGCTGAGGCAGGAGAATCGCTTGAATCCAGGAGGTGGAGGCTGCAGTGAGCCAAGATCTCACCACTGCACTCCAGCCTGGGCGACAGAGTGAGACTCCGTCTCAAAAAAAGAAAGAAAAGAAAAGAAAACCCCTCAGTTGGACAGCCAGCTTGTGACCAGAGCTTTTTTGAGTTCTGACTGGCTGAATGTGTTTCATCCAGTGTGTATGGGTACCTGTCCTTGAAACTTGTCCACCAAACCCGGTGTCACTGCTAATGCAGTTAGGTCATTAGCAAAAGCGGCATATTTCACACTGTCCTCAAGCATACTGATGTCTTTGGGCAACTGTCTCTGACAAGGTTCAGTCCCATGGATTCTGCAGATGAAACGCCACCCAAGGGGACATCTCTCTCCCAACCAAAATGTGCTGTGAAATCTAAAATAATTATTGGGGCTGTGGTATGGAGTTTGCAGCAAGTCCTACCTTCCCACACGCTTCCCATTTAGGGTTCTTTGATGATTTAGTGAGGATTTGTTTAGTTGTTTCTGTGAAAAAAAAAATACTTTAAGCATAAAAAGGCTCTTTTTTTGTTTTTTCTGGGTGTGGTGGCTCATGCCTATAATCCCAGTGCTTTGGGAAGCTGAGGCAGTAGTACTGTTTGATGTCAGGAGTTGGAGACCAGCCTGGGCAACATAGTGAGAGTCTGTCTGTACAAAAAGTAAAGACAAACACAAAATTTGGCCAGGCATGGTGACACAGCTACTTGGGAGGCTGAGGCAGGATGATTGTTTGAGGCCAGGGGTCCAAGACCAGCCTCCACGGTAAAGACTCCATCTCTAAATAAAAAATTTTTAAATGAGCTGGGTGTAGTGGCTCATGCCTGTTGTCCCAGCTGCTTGAAAGGCTGAGGTGGGAGGATCATTTGGGCCCAGGACTTTGAGGCTGGGCTATGATCACATCATTGCACCTCTGCCTGGGCAATAGAGTGAGACCCCATCTCTAAAAAAAAAAAAAAAAAAAAAGGCATTTTTAAAAACTTACATGATGGGGAGTCCAGAGGTGGCTAATGACAGTGGTAACAACTAATATTTATGAAGCAGTTACTATGTGTCATATTCTAAGTATTCTAAGTGCTTTTACTTCTGTAATTGTTAAAACCGCCCTGATATTATGTTCATTTCATAGATGAGGAAACAGAGGCCAAGAGAAGTGAAGTTGCTTGCCCAAGGTCAGATAGGTGGGAAGGGGGGAAGGAGTATTTGAACCCAGACGGC